AAAAAAAAAAAAAGTCACTTCCTATGTATTTTCCATACTTCTTAGCTTCGATGTTAGGGATAATTTTGGGGTATTCTTGCAGGGGAGTGGAAGGAAGTGGGCATTTTTAATGGTATAGAAGAGAAAGAAGTAATTATTTAAAGGCTCCAGCAGAAGTCAGGGCAAAGGCAAATACGAAGTACTAAATATTATGACCTGTTTGGTCCTAAAGACTACTAAACAGGAGGAAAAAGGTGGGGGGGGGGCTGTGTTATTGTGGGGAGAAGGCAGGGATGGAGAAAAAGGTGGCCCCGCCCACGCTCCCGCTCCCCACTCTCTGGCCGCAATGCAGGTATGAACCATAATTGGTTATCTGAGTTCACAGTGACGTGGCCCTTAGGAGACCTACAGCTGACGCGTAGATTAGTGTCTCCTCCTAGTTGCAGTCTGGTAGTCGTTTGTGGCTGTGTGCTGGCTCGCTATTGCCTTGAAGGCGGGAGAGCCTGTAGCCCAGGGAAGGAGGAAGTTGTAGAAGCTGAACCTGATCCGTAGCAGGTTGGTGGGCGCTGACTGGGGTGGCAGAAGGCTAAGACCAGAGCGGTTCCAGCTGGATTTTCCCTATCCCCGTCCCCAATACCCACTTATATGGTGCAAGAAGTGGAGGACTTGGTGGGAAGAGACAGAGGGGCCAACAGTTAGGAATGGGTACCAGTTGGGATGTCCTAGGAGTGGTGATCTCGTAGGCGATCCGGCGTCTGGAAGGGAAGGGCCAGAGAAGGGGAGAGCGAGGAAAAAGCCTGATTATTGCAAGGCGATGGGAGGGGGTCGTAACCGTTGACCCTGGGGATGGTCGACCCCGTCACGGTTCTAGGCCTCTGTTCTGGTATCGGTTCTCCACCGTTCGTCCATTTTGGAGCGGGAAATGGTGGGCTGCGGCAAACGGGGGCAAAGGGGCGGGGATGGGCGTTGCTGCAGAGGATAGGGACAGGAATTAGGTCAGGGGAACACTTCCCTTCTGCGCAGGAGGCAGTCGAATGGGGGCTTTCCGACTGAGGGATATAGTTGGGGAGCAGGAAACTTGTTTCTGACCCCTGCAAGTCGGTGTAAGCCTGGGCGCTGCTTGTGGTCCCTGGGGTAAGCAAGACAAAGTCCTGAGATCTCAGCGGGTACAGGTTTGCAATTCCCACACTACCTCTTTGCCCTTCGTCCATTTTGATGCATAAAATGGTGGGCAGTGAAAGGAGGGTGAACTCTAGAAAGGCTGCTGCGTCGCAGCCACGTTGAAATTCTTTATAAATAAACAACGTCACCATCCAGCAAGCGGTTTTCACTCCCCCGCCCAACAAGTTGGCCATTTGCATTCAAGATATGGTAATTAGGTGACGGGAGGGATGAGACGGGGGGGGGGGGGGGGGGGGGG